GAATCATTATCAATCATTTTTCTATAAAAATTTTTTGTTTGACAGTTTTAATAAATGACTAAAAAGTCAATTACTTAAATCTTCTGTAAGGTTCTAAACAAGTATTTACTTATCTATAAAACCAATAATTATACAATAGTAAAGTACATGTATATCTATATATAGTATAAAACTGTAATTACATCGTGTCTGTACACGCCTTACGTAAACACTAAAAGAAATTTGATAAAATTTAATGCGACAATAACTTAGTACCTGATTCGACATATAGAATCTTTTCACTTTTGTAAAATGTCTCATTCGTATATAAAATTCGCTAGTCATCTAATAAACCGGGAAGTAATAATACATAAACGTGACTATTACAATACAGCTTGCTCATTTGAGTCGTTTTAGCCGACTTTCCTGCCAATTAGCTTCATGAAAACATCGTGGACCCAAACAAAAGGAGGGAGGGTCATGAATTTATTGTTAGGTTACTGGCTTAAGTTATTTAAGTGTACGCGGAACGGGCGTTATTCACGTGCGAGACGCGGCGCAGAATGCAGCTTCCTGCGACAATTTATCATGAATCTTTAATTAAACTTCAACAGTGACTGTTCGCAGGAGACTCATTGTGTCTCGCAATAAGTCCTCTGTATCGATTGTTTGGAACTAATTCCTCAACTCTTAAATAAATATGAATATTGCTTATATATTATTAATATTTTAAACAGAAAGTATTAAAGTAGTAGACTATCGGTTTTCGTGACTTCATTCTTGTATATATAACTATATATGTGTGTTATATAGAGATCTTGATAAAGAAATAGGAACATAATATGACAAATTTATTATACTTACTCAGTAAAGCAGCATGTAATAAAAGACCACAAGTACCTATCCAGCCCATAATAACCCTTTATCGATCAATTGATAATCGATTAATTAAATGGAAAATACAAATAGGTATATGAACTATCGTGAAATATAATATAAACATATTTCGAGTTAAACAAATTTTACAATATTGTTTCAAAATATAAAGTGATTATGTGTAATTAAGTAGTAAATAAATTTATAATTAATATTAACTCTTTTAAAGGTAATTTTCGAACTTTCTATTATATATTTAATAATGGACTAACCAATTATTAAATTAATTAACCCATTATTATACCATAAATATAATATATAACAGTTTTAAACAGCAGATATGATGATATGCAAATGTGTCAATTTCATCAAAATAGATTTACTAAAAAAAATCCACCCACTTCAAAATTTCTCATATATTAATAATATTGCAATTATGTACATATTTTTTACTCTACTGCTAAAAATTTTTTATTTTGACTTTTAACTTTGGCTAACTTTATTTTGTGTAAAATACCTAGTAAAATTAGCTCATTTGTCTATAAATACAAAGAAATTCATAAAACTTCAAGTTATTCTGAGTGCGCGTATAATAAAGTTATGTAGTTATGTCAAATTTATACAATTCGTAGAATCCAGTTAAGAAGATGACTGTTCTTAGTATCTGTATTATTTCGTCAACGATCTCGTCCGAATTGTAATGAAAATATTTTGTGTTTATATATATCTACTTATTTATTGGAAAAAGTATCTCATTAATTAATCATTAAAATCATTTTAACCGATAATTGTCATGCATTACCATAAGGAACGCTCCTGAGTCACCTACATCTATTGAAACACATTTTATAGTGCACCTTCATCCTACTAAGAAATAATTCTACACTACGTTTACTTGTATAGGGTCATATACTCGAGATTTTTTTTTCAACCGGTTGTTAATTCTTTGTCCTTTATTTAACAGCCGATTGCAACTTCTAAAACATCTTATTTTTAAGTAAATAAATTTGTCAAAATTTTTTATTTTAGGCATCTAATATAAAAAATAATATTCGATACACTGTCGCATGGAGTAATTCAACTGTTACGAACTGGAATAAATAATTGTTTTTTTAATTAAGTATTAAATAAAAATGCCGTGTGGTTCTGGCATAGAATAGACCATCTCTTTCTTTACCATGTGTGTCATAAGAGGTAAAAAAGGAAACTTAATGGTCGAGAGATGAGCAGCAGCATCCCTCTTAAGACATCACCAAAAACTAACTACAGTTGGCAACCCGCCTGCAACTGTATCAACTATTATCAAAACCTATGGCCTATGTTCAGCAGAGGACAGTTAACGGCTGATATAATGATGATGATTAAGTAAAATGAAAAAAAAAACAAGATCATTTCTAATATGCTTGTTATTTTACAATACTTTTAATCTGTTTATACATTATGTACAAATTAGACAATAAATATGGAAACCGATATACATTTATCTGTTATATAACAATTTACTATACAACATTATAAACATCTAATAGTACATGGTATATATCTATACATAGACAGCTCTTAAAAGCAAGTATTGCGAATATTTCTATGTAAAAAGTACTGATCCCTAACAACACTTAGTATTAAATAAAACTTATTCTTTATACCCTTAATAGCCCGTAAGTCATAATACATTTATTAATAACAAATGCAAGACTAATCCACCTCGAATTCAGTTTCTGAAACGAATAACTACACTATAAAACATTTAGGGGACAACGACGACAATTAACTCACACCCGAGTCAGTTTTAGAAAGACTCAACCAAGATTCGAATCGAGAACTTAATATACAAGTACAATCTATGCGAGGTCATTTTAAAATTATAGTGAAAGCATAATTATCACGAGAATTGATATTGATGATATAAAAACATATATATATATATATATATATACAAAGTAAAAGAATTTATAAATACTAGTTATAATTCATGTCTTTTCTCATGTACATAAGAAATAGATAATGTGGTAAAATGTAGTAAATTAGAATATTATGTATCGAATTTATTTAATTGAAATCCGATTAATTTATATCTCCACTAACTTTTACGTTTATAATATTAATAATATATAATTGAAATTAAGATTTTTTTATTTTAATAAGGAAATTATTTTAACATCTTAATGCTTAATATATTTTAGTTATTTTATTTTTATTGTACCCATACAATAAATGCTGACGTCCAAGTACGTCACTGATATTAACCCGTCGGCAACAAAATATACAATAACACTATTTCACCCATTATTTACAATATAAAAGATACGCGTATTATTTTATGGAGTGGTCATATTTTTTGTTGCATAGATACCTAAATGCATATTTTAATAGCACAAAATAACAACTCTAGGATTATACGCATGTAACACAGTAGATAGAACTTATTATATATAAGTATATAAAATAACATATTTTTAAATAAATTTCATGATAAATGTTGACATATTTCAATTTACATATAATTAAATAATTATGTAAATCTTAGAAAACTTCTTAGTTTAACAATTAGGTATAATAATAAATATTAAAAAGTAATTAGTACAAAAACGAAACATATCTTCAACTTTTTTATATTTTTCGTACATAACCTTGTAATATTTACAGAAGGTTGTGTAAATTACATAACATAATTAAAATATTTATAAATAATATGTAAATGTACACACAGAAGCTGATAGAAAAATAATTAAGTTTTTTAGTAACAGAAAAAAATGACACACAATATTAACGTAAAAAATGGAACTATGCTTTCAACTGTATTTGGTTTTTTAACAATAAATCTGAATTCATTAAAAGCCTTACGTTATGTTTTTGATGGCAGTGTGCCACCTAATATGATACTGAGATCATTCAGGTCACCTATGGCTCCATTTTTTCACAATTTTATCATACTCCTGACAAACAAAAGGTAATACTTTTCTAGTGTAACATTGCATATAGTCCAAAACATTTTTACACTTAAGATGAATCTAATAACATTTTTTTCAGCAATAGGATATAATTAAAAAAATACTAAGTTATTTTTTTTTTCTTGATTTTGAATTGTTTGTAAATTAAAGAGATTGTGAATATACTTAAAAACAAAAAACATTTTTCTTTGTGCCAATAAAGTAAAAAAAAAACACATAACAATAACAGATGGCAATAGTAGCCTTTTCTTACAATCTGTTTACTTTCACTACATATAATATATAGTTAACAAGTACCTTTACCTTCGCATAGAACAATACATTATATCTGAAAATTATTTTTTTTTTTTACAACGCAGGGGGCAAACGAGCATGCGGCTCACCTGATGGTAAGTGACTACCGCCACCCATGATCACCCACAACACCAGCAGCATTGCAGGTGTGCTGCCGGCCTTTTAAAAAGGAATAATTACAAATAGAAATATTGTTATCAATTAACTGGAAATAATTCAAAGTACCTTTCAGATAACATAGTATTAATTCTGTTTACTTATTTAATTCATTATATTTATGCTCCATAAAATACCAATGTAGACAAAAAAAATTATCACGAGCTAAATTAAATAGTTGAACAATAAGCTTATTCATATTCAAGTTTCGTTCCTTTAAGTAAATTACTCTCCTTTCGGATTTATAGCTCTTAAAAAGAAAAGAATTATTCTCAGAATCAGTTATTAATTCATGTGTCTAATATTTAAGTATCTAACAACTTAAAGCTGTAAATAATGTTATAATTCTAAAATGCTGATTCAAAAGGCACTAGAATTTATTACAAACATTTAATTTAATACGTTTCCGAAAATCGTTGTATTTGAATATTCTGGATTAAATTACTAAATACTTGTTGATTATAACGTAATTACTCGATTTACACAAATATAATAATAATAATCGTTGTAAGCAAATATATATATAAATTATATAAATCCATGATTTAAAGTCAATCTAGTGCGTTTTTTCAGCAGTCTGTTTTACAAAGTTAAAATATAAATTATATACTTTAATTTATATAGGTACTATGTAAAGTATGATATAGTTATGGCACAGCTATTTAATGTAGATATAATAGAATATTAGAGGCGATATATAAGTATTTACATTTATACTTTTGTAATTTGACATAGAATTAATACCTGTTAGAAAGTATTCAAAATAAAGAAAACATGAACATTCCAAATAAAATAAAAATGCCTATATTAAGTAATATAAATACGCAGACAATTTAGAACACATTTCATACATTCTAACCAGATATATTTAAAAAAATAACATGAAAATTGACTAAAATTATTAAGCCCATAGATCACAGTACGAAACATCATCGACAAATAAGGCTTTCCTCTCTAGCGCCGCAAGCGCCGTGCGGTGGCGCTAAGAACAGTTTGCCATTAGCACACGCGCACAACTGGTAAATGTTTTGATGATGCGAATCATGGGCATGTGGGGCCGAGGCTGGCAATGGCAGTGCTGACTTCAATTTCGGCATGTATATGCTCGGAGCATCCAGATGTATCTGAAATTTTAGCTGATTGAATAAAATTATACCTGTTTGTGTTTTTACTTTTATCTTTGTTACGTATTAATAAAGAAAATCTAATATTTCTGAATAAAATATGTATTTTATTGTTTGTACTTGACCACCGATATATTTAATATAAATGAATAAGTATTAAAGCGCTGTTCAGTATTTTGTGAAAACATAAAATAATAAATACTGGTAATTGAATAATTAGAAGTGCGATTTCTAATCGATTTCTTCGATATTAAAATCTATATTAACGAAAACTTATACAATGTATAATCGTTAGAAGTGATCGTCATTACAAGTAAGCATACTTACTGATCCAGCGACAGATTTTAGATGAAATGTGGTGAGGCAGCTGGCACTAATGTCCCCAGCACGAGATTCTAACGCTATGTTCTGTGCCGCGTGCATCTCCAATGATCGTGTTGGAGATTCTAGGCTAAAATAATATATAGTGAAATGTATTTAATAAAATATGTTTAATAAAAATAACAAATATTACAAAAAATAAAAAATAACGTGAACAATACATTATAATAGTGTTATTTGTTTGTATAAACTACGAGAAAGAATAATGCGGCTTCACCTGCATAGAATCCATTTTCTCTGATTCCCGTGAGAAATTCCAAAAGTCCTTTCTTAGCGAATATCTACCCAAACACTGTAAGTTATCCACTTGATATTTTTAAGTTTGCAACATTTTAGTGATGAGGTAGTGAGTGATATTTCGCTATTTAATTCATAGAAAAATTGAAAAAAGTTTTATAATATCGTAAGAGATGAAGTCACAGTTATTTATATAGTTAAAGTAAAATTTTACAAGTTTATAAATTAGTATTAATTTAGACTTTGGTAGTTTAAATAATAGTACTTTTTTTTATATTTATCAGACATCTAAAGAACTTTTTTAAGAAAGCTAAGTAACAAAATTAGCCGTGATAACTAGAGTAAGCAGTAAGAACAAACAACACTCGTTCACGAATATGACGGATTTAACGAAACATACCAAAACCTGTACTATGTGAAATACTACCACTGTTCTGTATGAAATAGATGAGTTAAAAATTGTATTATCAGTGCATAATTAACTTACATTAATTGCTTTGATGGTGGCGCCCGCACTAGTGGCGTTTGCGCAGCTGTGTGTAGCGTCACACCCGCAGGACTGGCGACGGTCAGGGAGTCAGCCCCGACAGTGACCGAGTCCTGTCCCGCACCTAATAGTAACGCGCCCCGGGAGTCACGCACCTCCAGCCTCGCTACGTTTACTTCCAAGCGATCATGACCTGAATATATCACATTATATAGAAAAATATAACCATTAATAACCCATAAATGTACTCATTACTGGACTCAGAGCTTTAGTCGTTAAGAAAACTTTTAAACCGTAAGAATGGCAAACAAGCTGACGGTCCGCCTAATGGAAAGTGGCAACCTATAGACATGAACACTGCCATGTTAAATAAAAATATTAGTCTACTATTACCACAATTTTTACTTGATTTAATAATGATATACAAAGATATTAATGTTGCGTAAAATAATAATGTAATCCATACATATTATATAATATATAGATAAAACTTATAATTAGCAATGAAGGTCGTGCTACAAATAAATTTTAAATCAAATAACAACTTACTTAAATATAATCTACTCTGCAATAATCCATGAGGATCTCGTGTGGAGACGGTAAAGTTACGAGATGACTCTATGGAGATGGGCTGTCCTCGACGCGACTTGATGCTTGAAGTGAACAATGAATCAAGTACTAGAGCCTGCCCCAAAAGTTGCAAGCCCCCAGGTACTATGCGTAGCTGGCCCATGCCCTCCTACGTACATAAAATAATAAATATATTAATCATAAAACATTACAGATGAGACAAAAAAGACAATTACATAAGTGAAATAAATTTAATAATATAATTACTTTCATGAACACTGTATGAAAATAAAACCAAAATTAAGTTTTTGAAAACAAAGTCTAATTAATAATAAACCTTCTTATTAAAAAAAAAATAAACTTTACAGTTCATGAGAACTATATACATAAATTGGTAGATTTGTGTAAACAAACATACATATTATTCAGCATAACATCATAAAGTTAACCCGATATGTTTGATATAATATTAACAAATACTCCGGTTGGTGCAGTTATAGTATTAAATATATTTAACGTTCTTAGTTTTATTTAAATAGGTATATTATAATAAAATTTACAGAACAACAACAAAACAGTTTCGTAGCAGTAAAATTTATGTTACATGAAGTATAGGTCTCAACCGCGCGATGAATATAAAAAAATTTGCAGGGTAGTATGGTGACCGTTGCGCTGTACTAAAGTACACTGCTTTTCCGCTACGTTTTATGCCGGCCCGCCATTGTCTAGACGTGTATTAGTGTTAACACCATTGCATTTTCAATTTAAAAGATCAAATCTTTAGCGATTTTTTTATAGCATTCATCAAATATATAAAATAACAAAATGGCAAAACATTATACTTGAGTACAAATACCTTCTTGTAATAACCAACACTGTCATTTCATCCCGTGTAAAAAAAAAAATTGTGTAGGATTAGTCAAGTAAGTATATTTTCAAAAACCTAACGTAAGAAAATTAGTGCAATCTTCATTAAATTTAATAAAATTCTCACCGAATTAAAATCCAAAACTTTAAGAACCCATAACGTGAGTGCAAGATTAATAATCATCATAAACATGAGTGCCATGACAAGAATGTAAAGGCATTTCTTCCGCCATCCGTAGATGCCAACTTTGAATTGGCTATTATAACTGTTCCTGATCGAGTCGGCCTTTGTGTCCCGCCCCGCATTGTTGTTCAGGATTGGCTCCGGGGTGATCTTGTCCGCATAAGGTATCCTGCAACAAATATTTCTTTGAAACAACGCCAATAGATTGTTTACAAAACTTTTATCTTCCTTTCCGATTTCAATAACCGTCTGTAAAATCTGCAAATGTCGGTACAATTACTGTACTTTATTTATGATACGAAAGAATTTCCACTATTTAAGTATATTATACAAGTATACTTTTTTAACACATTATATATTTAATATTCACTGAAATTTGCAAAAGGTTTTTGATTTACATTTATTTTATTTTGTAGTTATTTTGAGTATATGTCCTAACTTCATTTACAACGACATCGTTTATTAGTATCAATGAATCAAAACTGCCAAAATAAAATACGAATATTTGGATAGTTCCGTGTAAAGATTTCTAGTTGTATATTATATTCGTCTAATATGATTTGAACGTCTGTTTATTTTGATACCACAGCATCATAGTGAAAAAGTTTTGTGTCGTAAAACTTCACTGTTAAAGAGAAGTCATTTAATATTAATATTATAAATATGCAAGTATGTAAGTATGAAACATTAAAGATAATTCGATCATCATAAAATTTCGCATATACATAGTACCTGCTTGTGTTATAAAAAACAAAGATAAATTTTTGTCATGGTAAATCAATATTCATCGATCACATGAACAAAGTCAAGGTTTCAGCTAATAATTAAATAATTAGGAAGCAGCATTTAATTCTTTAAAAAAATAACAATTTGTACTACGTATTAAATATTTTTTTATATACAATTTAACTTCGGAGTCCAACCAGGTGACCTATTCTATGCCGTGTGCTCGCGACATAGAATAGACCACCCCTTTTTTTCTCTTGGATGTAATAAAAGGCGACTAAGGAAGGACGAGGGATGAGCAGCAGCATTCCTCGTTAAACGTCTCCAAAGCCTCACTGCAGTTGCCAGCTCGCCTACCAAGCGTGACAACTACTAGAAAATCCCTCTAGGGGAAGACTTATGTTCAGCAGTGGACAGCTAAGGGCTGATGTGATAATGATGATGAAACCTCTGACTATCGAAAAGTTCTTTTTACAATATAAAAGTGTATTTTTTATAAGTTATAGATTGTAATACCATAAATATATATATAGACCAAAATCTTCTATCTAATATGTATATAAGATCTCTTATATGTTCATAAGAGTAGGCTTAATACATTTGTGTTGACTACTGTTGACATTTCCAATTTTCTGTTGTCGGCTCCAAGCTTGGCCACTAGACACCGCGCCCTCCCCAGAGCATTGTTCACATTAAAATATCACGCTTTTATTTCTACTATACATGAAATGCATTCGGTGGAGTTGTAAAGAATACGCGTATATTTTTAGGTATTCAAAATATAAATTAAATTAATAATGATAAATCATATTGAACAAAGTTATTTAAAATCTTTTTGTATTTGCATCTTTTTTTTTGTATTAGATATTTTTAGTAGTTGACATTTTTGTTTTTATTGTTGTTTTTCATTTATCATTTACAACATTATTTAAAGTATAATAATGTTTATATGAGTAAGACTAGTGTTTAAGAATTACAAGAATAAAATATGTCATTAATTATAAATCAATATTCATTAATACTTAAGTATATTTAGATTTATTAAATATTGATATTAACCAGTAGAGATAGGCATTTTTACTTAGATACATATATACTCATATGTACGTAGATCTGGTATTTGTAAAACTGACCAGCGTCAGTGGACGAGAGCCATAAATTTGCAAGGATTCGAGCACGACAGGGCACTCTGAAAATTCTCGTAAGGATGCGGTACTGGTCGCTGGTCACCGTTCAGTATATGATGTCAGAGATATGTATACCATGCTTGCATTTTCACATAACTCTATTAAACTAAGATTGTATGAACCTCTTGCAGTAAAATATGTTACTATGAAAGTAACTAAATCCATTTTTTTTATACTTATAATGGCAAACAAACTCTCGGTACATATTAATTGACTTTTTAATTAAGAAAGAAAAATGTATATAACTGTATTAAAGCTTAATAAGTAAAATATAATAAATTAATGAATTTATTGGGAAATTTCCAAATTAAAAGCACTATTAGTAGCTCGTTTTTAAAATGAAACAGTGGGACGGACAAACAGATGAAGTCACACCTTTAAGCTTTTTATCATTTTGAGCAAGCTCATAGCACTGTAGTCTGTAATTTTCATGATGCTGTTCATATCTATAGGCATCGATTACTAAATTTCATCAGGAAAACCGTTAGCGTGTTTACCATTTTTTTTTTCAATATCGATAGCTAGTAATATTTATGTTAGAATTTTCAAAATTACAAAAATAAATTATAATAATATCATATGAAGTACCTAATAATAATCTATAAAAATAAATTGCCATCTCCTCTTATTAAATTATTAATAAACTATTAATAATAAAAAGTACTATTTTCACCCGGCTTCTAAAAAGAAGGAGGTTTTCATTTAGGTTCTGTTTCTATATTTGTTGCGTCGTAACTTCGTCATTTATGAACCGTTTTGGAAAATTCTTTTATTATGAAAATCGTTTAAAAAGTTCAGTTTTTAAATAAAAATAACTAGTGTTGCCACGATTGAAATTAATTTTTCTGTCAAACACATTCTTAAATTATTGTTATATAAATACAAATTACTAAAAATGATTTCATGCAATCAAAATTTTTATAAAACTAAATGCAAAGTACTAGATTATTGATCCTTTATAAGAAATGTACTACTGACTGACGCCAGTATTTGTTAGATTTATTTTTTCGAACATCCAGTACGTTGTTTTAATGCAAACATAACGAATCGTCGAGGCGGATGTCGCAAGCGGGATTTACCCTAATCTTGATACAATAAGGGGGAAAATGCTACGTACCCTCTCTCTGTACTAACTCGTGTTTATGGGACAAACAAGTTACTTGCAGTGATGCATGTTACACGATAAACATATATTTGTAAACCTATTACTTTGTAGAAAAAATTCTGTTAACCTTTTAGTAATTTGGTAATAGCATATATAACAAAAATGTTACTATGAAATTACTATTATATTATTATTTCAATTTTTCAATGATCCGTGTATATTTTTTTGTTGCAATGAATTGTTGCAATTTTGATTGTCATTTTATAATAGAAAGTTTTATCATCATATTTGTTAATCTTATAATTAAACATGGTTGAAATTGTTTTTTTTTTTTTTTTTTTGTAAAAAGATATTTTTAATTAATTTAATATTATTTATATAATATACACTCCTATTATATGTATGTGCCCACTCTAAGGTGGCTAGCTTAATCAAAACAGTTAGTAATACGTAATATACACGAACGTAAGGAAAAAAGAAAACGTAAAATTTAAACGAAATCTATGTGGAAGCGTTTCTACACTTTATCTCTCGGTCCAGTCTCCCAACACGTTTGGGGGGTTTACGAGGCATTAGAAACCAATTACACCAATAATACTCCCACGTTCGAGTTGCCTACTTTTTTCGAATCTAATCGATATCAATCAATAAGTTGAGTTGTATTGCTTAGACAAAATGTTCTTGACAAATTTATTATCATACAACGGATAATTATTTAAAATTTCCAACTAAATCTCCGATGATGTAAAACACCGATAACAAACCAAATTAATTAGAGTGACTTACGCCTGCCACGTTGGAGTCTAACTATCCCATTAAAGTTTAGAATTATAATTTATTTTCTCAATTTACGATACGAGTATATATTTACTAACCCTATGTTGTGGGGGGAAAGTGATTATCAGAAATGGAGTCTAACAGCTTCTCTGCTTGCAATTTACCCTATCAGGTCAACCTCTATACGGTTCCCTGGAAACCATCGTGGTTAATTCTCGTGAAATTCTTCACGATAGGCTGACTGGTCATCCTCACTTATCATCTCCCACTGATGCCCCGCCAATGTATACTGATAGCGCAGGCGGAGTTACCACTTCATTATCACCTATTAAAAAACCTTATGTTGTAAGTGACTAGTTAACATTATAAATATTTCGGGAGTACAATATGGCTATATTAAATACGTTACACTGATAAAAGGTATAAATAGGGTGAAATCTAATAAATTCTCGGCGCGGAAACGTAAACGATGAACGTAGACGGGCACGTAGCAGTTGTAGCCCGTAGGCGGGGTCCGTAGCCCGTAGCGGTGTAGTGGCGTAGCAAAGAGCTCGCGTACCGCAAATGAGCCTTATTAATCATCCCCATCATGGCACCTCGACCTCTGAGCTTCCTCTGTTACCAGATTCCTCTTATAGAAATCATTTTTCCTCTCCTTTAATGACAAGCACATTTATAACATAAATAGATATATACAGAAGTTTGAAATTAAATTATTCAATTAGTATATAAAATAAGCAATATATTAAGTTAGAATATAACCTACTTGTATATTAAATTTTGTTCAAATATGTTTAATCGTTTAAAGATAATTGAGTAACAAATATAGATGTTTAAATAAACATATAAATATCTTTACTAATTTCTACATACATAATTTCTATGAAATTTAGTACACGAATAAGTTATATCCTAACTAAACATATTGTATATATTTGCGGGAAAAGTTGCGGAAAATAACTATTTTATAATATTGTTAGGATCCGTGAACCATGTCGTCACTGTGGCCGCTCAAGATGGCGTGTGATCACATGTCGTGATATAATAAAAATAATGAATATTTGTATAACTTTTTTTCCTAAAAGAAAGAGAAACTTTCAAAACGCGATTTTTTCTATTCATCTATTAATTTAAATATATTTGATGAAAACTAGCGGTTCTTTTTTTAGAACTAACATAAATAAATAAAATATAACAAGTGATTATAATATATTAATGATTGATATTTTATATTCATATGTATATGAGTATAATCGTATATAAATGTAAAATAAAATATAGATATACATTAATACTAAAAAAGTAAACGAAAATTGTTCTCATAAAGTTCCTAAGGTACATGATATAGTAAAACTTTTTTTTAATAACATAGAGAGCAAACGAGCATGCGGCTCGTCTAATGCTAAGTGACTACCGCTGCGCATAAACATCCGTAACACTAGAGATATTGCAGGTGCCGGCCTTTTAAAAAAGAAAATGCTCATTTCTTGAAGGTTATGATGTCGTATCGGTTCGAAAATACTACTTCTGGAAGTTAATTCCAAGACGTACGTGGAAGAAAGTGCGTTGAAAAACGCACGATGGAGGACCGCCACTCATCCAGGAGGTTGGGATGGATCTTTATTTTGTGGCAGGTTATTCGGTGGTGAAATTCAACGGTGGTGAAAAACTTTAAAATAATTTTAAAATAAAATCAACATTTAAAGCAATCCCTGCTTCTCCTTACATCCACAACCAGTAGCTTCATAAATTGATAAGTTGATATATCATTTATCGTATATAGTTGATAATGTAATATACTATATAGAACATGCAGTCATGGCTGAATTCGCAACTCGTAACATTACTATCTAATTAGATAACGCGTAATGGAACAAACCCACTCGTGTCGTGTCGAGGATTATAATTGGTGATTATTATCTATCTAGCCTATGCCGCTGACTGTGTAATTTTTATTTACAATTGATAAGAAATGCAATTACATGAAAGTTTCATTCACAAATTTATAGTTTGTTAGCAATTTAAATTAGACTATCAAATTTATATTCATGATATTGTTTTAATTAAAAATTTTATATTACATTTATCAAATATATATGACAAACAATAATTTCAGGAATCGGTAAAAGAATAAGTAAATAGATATTCCTATGCCGTACTACATTTTTCTACATAATAAAATAATTATCTAATTTTGTTGTAACTAAATCTCATGTACAAATACACAAAATAAAATTTGGCTAAAACTTCTTTTTTGTACTTATCTAAACTCTCAAAAAAATTATCATATATATATCTTTTTGCAAAATTAATAAAATATTCTTACCTATAATATATTAAATAAAAAATTGACTTGTTGACCGACAAATTAACCCATATTCGAATTTAATACTCTTTTTTTATATACAACTTAGAATGGCAAACAAGCTGAGGCCCACCTGATGGAAAGTGGTAACCGTCGCCTATAGACATGAGCAGTATTATGGACATAAAAGAGTACACTGTTTCGCCCATAATATCCCCCATGCGTTGCTATTCCTGAGGACTCAGGTGTTAATCCTCTGTACCCTGTAAATTTCCGTCATATCCCATCCTTCAAACCGAAAGACAGCCATGCAAACACAACTGCTTCACGGTTGAAACACGAATAGGTCAGAGGTACCCAAGCAATTGACTTTTGTACAAAGTCTCCCTCTGGTAGAGAACTCGATCTGGAAATATAATTATATAAAGTTACATAGAAGTTTGATAATCAGGCTACGACTGATCAGTTTTTAAGCGCAATTTTGTATGCCTATATACAAAATTGCACTCAAAACTGTTCATCAGTAATCAATAATAAAGCCGGATCACAGCATACAGTATTTTAAAAAAAATATATAGTTTGATTTGAATTGGATCACGTATTAGAAGCTACTAGCATATTAGAAACTAGTCTGGCATTCTGAATTTAATGAGTAAAGCCGATGTAAATGATTACTATGTATATTCATTAAACGTACTTGATATCATTTGTTGAGTATACGTTAATTGAGCGTTTCATCAGGCAGCGAGTGCGGAATGCGCGGCCGTCGCACATTCGTTAGCAATATTCCACTAACGAACCAAACTAATGGCTATTAACTTGAATAACGTAGCACTTTGCGTTTCGAATGCCGTACCTACGCACTCTGCTGTATGATTCCTAGATTTTACACAATCGCATTAATTCTTTATAAAAACAAAGACTGATTCAATTATACGTGTATTTGTAATATTTCTTAATGATATTAACTGCATATTATGTTTAATTCAACGAAGTAAAAAATAATAAGAATTAACCGCATATATATATACTACGGCCGTATACATATCATCATATCAGCAACTTCAACTGTCCACTGCTAAAAACAAGCTTCCCCCCCCCTCCCTTTGCTAGTCATTGCCATGTGGCAGGCGGATTGGCAATCGCAGTTAGGTTTTGAATATGTTTAAAGAGGGACGCTCGTCTCTGACGCTCTTAGTCGTCTTTTACGACATAAACATATACAGTGTAGATATTTATTTATATAAATAACGACAAGATAACAGTAATGAAGCCGCTTATATTCTTTATTCAATAGAAATATTTTATCGCATATATAATAAACTATCTTTTTGACTATTTGTTTTTTAAATTAGTAACATACTTTACAAAAAAATAAATATCATCTAAACAAACTACTTAGAATTTTAAATACGTTCTCTAATTCTTCAAGCCGAATACGGGGTGTGATATAAGAAAACCTTACAGTATTTCAGACGTCACTTCAAGGTAAGCTGTATAAGCCTACACAATGGGAGTGCCATAAATTAAATTTCCAATTTGCCAATGACGTATCGCTAAGGCAACCTAAAACGAGTAACACGAGGCACCAAAACCGACTTGCTTATTTTAAAATTTAGCACCATTGCACCAGTTAACTATTCCTAAAATCTTTAGAATCATGAATCTCTATGATAAATTAATAAAATACAATTTTTGTAAATTGAAATTTTGAAGGAAGATGCGAACATATCTACGATCACTGCAATTTATTAACTGCCCACTTCTGAGACTATATATGTATTTCTCTTTATAAGAGAGGCACATTAAGCATTAAAATTAACTTATTTTAAGTTTTGTTAACTTTTCGTTATTTGTTTCACTATAATAAAGTGTCTATTAACATATCTTTTACCAAAAAAGAGCCCGATTCAATAATGCAGGATAGAAAATCCTGGAACTGCAAAATTGAGAAAACCGATTCCACATAAAGTGATAATTAGCTAAGGACAAGAACAAGATTGTTTTGTATACTGACTGTTCTTGCATTATATCTTTAACTGAACTCAAAATTATTAATACACAAACATCCAAATAACATGAAGGCGTGTATATTTGTGTATATAGATACAACAATATTAAAAAAAAAAAACATTTGGTCATACCAGGTATTATTATACCTATATCTTAAATTATATATATAAAGCATCCAGCCTGAAAAACTTTTTATCAGCTAATTGTCAAATTAGCATACTTGTTTTTTATCAGTGTTTTGTATATTTACGCATAAAATGTATCTTAATGTATTAGTTAATAAATAAAATGACTGTTTACGCATTAAAAGGATGCAGAATTTATAAGATAAAACAGATATAGAAGTTATAAAGGAATCACTTATAACTATTTATCACACAAAATTGTTTGAAAAAGTTGGCGCGTTTTTCTCGGAGCATTTCCCTGGCGATACTCTATCTATATAATCTAAGATCTATATATTATAAAAGAGTATACTGAAATATAAAAATATCACGTTACTAGTAACCAAATAAATTTAACTTAAACAGCGTATGACTTATGCTTATGTTCAAAATTTATTCAAATTATTATTTCATACGCGAATGTATAAATAAACATTCTTGCTTCAGAAGTTCGATAGTTTGGAGTTGCATGCAGCAAATGCAACGCAATGCTCCATTATGTGGCCCATAAATCAAGTGCATTGAAATCTCCTTCCTCTTTCGTGTCGGTGAGCCATCGCACGGAGCGACGGATATTTGAACCAATGCACCACCGAGCCCTATCTCGATACAACTACATAGGTACATCTACAGGTAAATACAACTGAATTAAAAGAAGTAAAAGTATGAGGAATGATTTACATTCCTATTGCGTACTATAGTTTCATAGAAACAAATTAAAATATTTATAATATCTAGATTAACTGTAAGTTTTTACGGATCGTAACAATGTAATTTTAATCAGACTCTTATTTTCTTCTATATCCTGAATCAATTATTACTCATTAATTTAATAAATAACAACATGTACGTATATTTTCTTATTTCAGTTATAAACTATCCCGCAGATTACTCCACGTAAACCAATAGAGAAGGTATCCTATGTACTAATTTAAAATGTAACGTATCCGTATAGCAAATTTTATTTAAATCCATTCAGTACTTCCTGCGTCAAAGAAAAGCAAATATCCATCCATCCAACATTACAAACTTTTCTTTCAAATTAAAAGGATTTTACAATTCTTATAGTTCGAAACGATATTAATTACGAGGAAATCTACTAAATTTGTTATATTATACGAAGCCAATAAGTCTTTATGATAAGGTAATCGAATTACGTCAAGATAGAAACAAGTAGAGTTCTGATATCTCTGCGCCTACAAAAGTAGAAGAAAAGGCATGAGAGTGGTGATTATAATAATAATATTTGAACATTTTTACATAACTATCTAAGAAATGACTATGGAAATGTAAATCAAATGCAAGGGTGCAGTGCATAGCTGTAGATTGATTGAAGCAATGTCATATTCATGTTCGCACAATGGCCGCCCGACGACCGGCGGCATTCGGAGGTAACATCCATTCACTCAATGTTACTCAATGGCTTTTGCATGTTACATTCTGCACTTAGACTACATTCGAAGTTGTCTACATATATTTCTGTCTGTGTGACATCGTAATATCTGAGAATACAAGAGTATGTGAAATGTGTTTGTATAATATGCTTTTAAAGAATAAACTATTTTAAAAAGTGTGCCAGTCAGTAAGTAAATTTTACAACACTGTTGTAAACCGCACCAATTCAGTTATAAATAATAATTAATATTCAGTGTCATCATGTTAATACTACTACTGCTATTACTACATACTATACAAAACTAGTTCTAGATTTTGTTTACTATTTTTTTATGTAAACAAATCTATGAATTTACTTACTGAAATAAAATTATTTAACAATAATTCTACATTCTTGTCAAATATAATTAATTATGATAATTATGCATAATTTATTTATTGACTTGCAAAAATAGACAGTTCTCAATTTTCCTCTACCTTCGTCAATTCTGAACTAATTTTGACAATCAATTTAAGATTTACCGTGTAATAATTTTATCATAAAAAATCGGTACTTTTTGTGAAACAAAATGTACTTATATTAAATGATTTTTTCCTCCAATTTTACATAATCTTTGCAATTATACTTATATAATTACCATACATTTATTATGTGCATACCACCTACGTAGTAAGTACCTACGTAAAAATTAATAAAACGTCATATAAGAACAAAACTATATCCAAATTTTGGATATAGCTAGAGTTGCATACCAAAATAATAATTTCCTACGTCACTCTACAGACATGTTTTGAAGTGAGACATGCAAGGTATAGTGAAGCGATATGAGCAGAGGAAATAGGCACAGAGTGTCATGTTCTGGTTAATACCTTGCCTGAGAGACGTGTCCGCCGGCTCAGCGAAACGTCAAAGGGAAATTGAAAATTAATTTATGCCCCTAAACTTCATACACACATAATATCTCAGAGATTGCAAATCGCTTACGTGAGAATCTTGAAAGCCACGAACAAATTATGACTTTATATCTAATACATACAGAATTTAATTTAATAATTTAATTGTAATTACAAAAAAAAATCATTCAAGATTTCATAGTAACATGTTGCACACGCGCAATTTTAATGGTTAATAACCATTATAAATATTTGGTATTTATATTTTCTGGTGGACAAATATTGCTATTATTTTTCTTGCATTCCCGTTATATATTTTAAATATATTTTTAATATGTTTACCCAAAAAATATATTCATCGTTAAATACAGGTAACTTTGAAAAATAAATATCTACTTTTCAGTTGATTTAATTAAAACTTGTTTAAAAATATATTTATTACTCTATTTAAGAATCCTACTTTATTTTCTTGCTAATATTATATATGTGAAAATATTAATATAAATAAGATCTAAAATAAATACTAAACCTATATCTTCATAAATTCTTGCATTAAGTATCGTCGTACTTTATTTTCTTGCTAATATTATATATGTGAAAATATTAATATAAATAAGATCTAAAACAAATACTAAACCTATATACTAAACATAAATTCTTGCATTAAGTATCGTCGTAGAGACAGTGTAGAGACTCAACAAGGACAATAAAATTTATACCAAATAAGCATAATATCAACTTCCTGTAACACTATGGATGTCACATACTTTTCAATTTATTTGTATGGATCTTGTGGCAATCATACTGAAATCAGAAACAGATTTCTCCAATCACAACTACAACCATAAAGCATTTTTATCGTCTTCTATTAGACGAAGGTTTGTTCCCAACTAAGGAAGTCTCAATTTTTAAGCTAACGCAATTAAACCCTAATTATGTATATTCTACTATAAAGTATTTTGTAGCTCTATAATTGTTTAAGTTACAATATATTGGTGACTAAGACTTCTTATTAGATGTCAAACCTAGATTCTACTATTTTTACTACTATATTTATAATATAGTAAATAGTGACATTTACTAATCGAACAAATCCGTATGAGCCGTACCGAACCACACGACATCCCTACTTTAGAATACTTGTAAGCGCTGAACGCACTCGCGGGAGGGCTCGCGGAAAGAGTCGTAAATACTCCCGACGCTGCTCACTTATAAATTAGGATCATAAAGCAGTTGCCGAAGTTTGTTGGCGGCACGACGACCATAAAACAACGCTTACGTCTCAGAGGGGAGAGGCGACGCGACGCTCGTGCCCGCGGTCTTTCAATTTCGACTATTACAAGTCGTAACGTATGTCAATAACGTTTTATTTATAACAAAGGATTTAATATATTAAATATAATTAAATATTTGTTTTTACGCGTGACTTTGACCGCGTACCCAGAAAAAAGTTATTTATGTCCTACATACTACGAATACGGCAAATTTCTTGACGATTGATTAAGCTGTTATGCGGCAAGATATAACAAAGCAATAAACTCACTTTCACATTTGATTACAGTATCTGATTGTGAATGAGTTATTATTTAAGTATAAGGTTTTTTATATACAATCTTATGTTACAGTATATTAAAAGAATAAGTTTCGTTTGGTATAAATATTGTCAAAAAGCATGATGAGGAGAAATTTACCAAAATTATCGTAATCATAATCAATTCACCTAAATTGGGACTAACTGAGAGCAAGTAATCCGGTTGTATTGTATTATATTTATATTATTTGGTATATTCTTTTCTTGTTTGTATTTACTTTACTACTTTATTTTTTTAGAGGGAACAATAAATAGTATCATCTATACATATTCTGTTATTTTGCAGAAATCAGCAGCGGGATTTTAATATATAAATTTGGACATGATAGACTTTTAATATAATGGTTAAACATTGTTATGAGTGTTAGCAGCTGCAATATGTGAATTTCATTTGATCATTCGGAGATTGTGAAATCGCTTGGAAGTAATTCGCAAAGGCGAGTTTGCCACAGACACTCTGCTGCACCACTTTAAGTTAGTTTCAGACGAAGTTGTTCTGCATTCCTAGTACAACTCATACACACTTCCTTATGACAACTTAGTAACTTGTGTTAACTTACAGCTGATCTACAGTTATTCACAGGAGTACTTTAAGAACACTTTTATTTTATTGTAGTCTTCCTTTCATTAGCCTAGAATAAATACTTTTTATGTACGAATACTGCCGTGCGATTCCGACATAGAATGAGTCACCCGTTCCTTTTTCGTACGTGAGTAAGGGAACTTAATAGCGGAGGGTTAAACAGCAGCATCTCTTTTTAAATATCGCCATTGGCTAACTGCGGTTGCCAGGGGGGAAAGGGATGGTTAGTAATGGAGACTAAGTATCCTATTGTTAGCAATATACCCGGCCAGCTCGACCTCCTCGCGGTTCCCCCTGGAAACTATCATGGTTAATTACTTGTGAATTCGTTATGATGGGCTAACTGGCCTGTTTTCATTCTCATTGATCACCCTTCACTGGTGCTCCGCCAGCGTATCCCGATAGCGCAGGCGGGGTTACAATTCCATTTCATTCCATTTTCACCCATAAAAAAAACTGCGGTTGCCAACCCGCCCGCCAAACTACTGACAGAACCCTCTTTTATAGAAGAGGCCTGTGTTCAGCAGAGCAGCAGTTAACCGCCGATATAATGAGGATGATAATATACGAATCTGATGATGATACAGAAAGTAAACTTATGGCAAAGTTTATAATCTATTTTCATACCTACATAATTTTTGCAAATAAATATTTCATTCATTCAAATAACTTCTACTAAAAATGTAATATTTCGACGAACCTTCAAAGAGCGAATGATGTTGAAAGAAATAAAAATTACGTTTCCTGACACGCATTCTATGTACCAACATTGGGAAAACGCCGTCGCAAGAGTAACGCGCGTAAATAATTCAGTCGATACCAAGCTTGCTCTCTGGGGGTGTATATGGAATACTAACATCTGATCTGTGATTGCACATGATAAATCTATTTCTCTTGCCATGTCTATGCTTGTGTTATTTCTTGAGCTTTGTTTCTAGTTGCAGTGTCTGACACCAGCGGTATAACACCGACCTTAATAGGGGCAATTCAAAATGTATAGGTATTCTTAAATTAATAATATACCTACAATGAAGCACTAAAAACACTTCAAAAAAACTTTTAAGACTGATTTTTTACGTACATATTTTTTATTATATATTTATTTTATCCTCATATAAATAACATATTGGACTGAGAAAATATTATAGTCATTCTAGTGTTGCGCGTTATGTTCATAGGTTTTCAATCAATTTTCAAAAATTTCAAACTATGTAAATCTTGTGTTTATCATTTCTACTAATATGAAAACAAATGATTATTTTTTTTATTTTTCCGTGTAATAACTACTGTCACTGTAGCCTAAGGACGCCTGCAACACTAGAGGTATCACATGCGCATTGCTAGCTCTGGAAAAACCTTAAAACAACCTTTTTGAAAACCCGCTATATTGCAGTCTCTAGGTAAAACTTCAACAGAAAGCTCATTCCATAGCCACAACATTCACGGAAGGAAGTCCTCCGAAACCGCACTGTACGCAATCGTTTGAGTTCTAGCATGTAAGAATGATTTCCCTGTCAATGCGATGATAAGAATAGATTTATATGATGACTCTAGCATGATGACCTCGATGCCTTTGAAATGGCATTATAAATTAACACAGGACAGGTATACCTAACGAGATAAAGCTATCTTTGCCTAGTGCCCAATACTTTAGCATGTTATTACGCTTTGTCGTAGGCCGTCTCAGAAAAAGCAATCAAAACTTTCTAGAATTAAAGTGTTTATGAATCATCAGACACGAGGATAAATCAAATAATAATCCTGATTGAGACATTGTCACTACAAGAAACTATTATAATAGAGAATATAAGCAGTGTGAAAATAATCAGTAGTTTAGAATGTTAGTATTGTGGCTGCACAAACAAGTCGAAGCCGGAACTACGTGACACGCAATGCAAACTGCCGCGCCGCCCGCGCTACATGTTTATATCACATCTCTGTTCTTTTGTTAAAGTTGCATGCTTATGCAAAATTTAATAGTTAATATGAGCAGTTAACAGTTGTCTGTCATACGTGTATTATTTTATTTTTTATAATTTATCTAATTTTACTAATATAATAAAATTGTAACTAGACGATATCTGTACATACAAAATATCTAAAAAAAAATTAATATGAGGTGTTTTAATAAGAACAATAAATGTTTAAAAAAATATTTTTAGGAAGTTTGTATGTCTACTGTACTAAATTGGATGCGATTTTCACAATAGTACTCCTGAAGGCCGAACTTAAAACGTTTTAACGTTTCATCTCAATACTACATCTAGATATCTATTTTATTAGTTTTTCTAAGTCTGAAATCCACACATACGAAGTAAAAAACAAAAAACTTATTCTATATAAGTATTCTAATTCTATTATAAATATTCTACAATAATATCTCTTTTTGATTAGGCCTATTCTATAGAAGTA